GACGATTTTAACGGAATTTGGTAATTTGCCTATTTCTTTGAAATAAAAGGATATTTTGCCAAAAAAAACTGTCCAGTAGTTTTTGTCATGTCCTAGCCTATCTACCATGAAAATATGAGCGAAATCGAATTTTCGACTCTTGCCGAGTTATTTTCCATTGTTATGGACAGGGACTCTTAAGAGCCACTGTCTATAAATGTACACCAAACACTGGCACAAGCTCATATTTTTGCCCACAGATTGGCCCTAGCTAGAAAACAAATGGGCTGTAGTTAGTTTCTGTTAGTACAACCTTTCTGGAAGAAGTTTGTGAATAATGATTTCGCTCTGATTGGGTTCAAATCTACTTCCGGTGTGCTGAATTTTCTGAATATTTGATTGCAACACGCACCACACAACAGCAACTTGAGAATCTTTCAGTGATTTTTATATTTAGCTCAGGTCTTCATGGTACGACGGAATGTAAAATAAATCAAAGTTTTTAGCCCAAACAGACAAACAAAATTTGCAAATGTGTTGCAAGCGAATCATAGAACTAAAATATCGCCATATTTTTCTATGGGCTATAACTTTAAATGCAATAAAAAACACTTTCTACAGGTTAACTATACACCTACCTGTTTGAAAATCCAAAACTTTCTCTGGGGAAATGGTTTTAAGTAGGCCACCTTGGCCTGTGTTTCTCATACATTTGGCCGTAAATCCGCCATTGCAATGTAAACAATTGCACAATGTGGCCAGTTACCCTGAATACATAATTTGTTTCCAACAAACCACAGAAAGCTAGCTGAGAACATTTGGGTGAAAAAATAAAACATAATGTAACACTTTTAATTTTGACACTTTTTAAAGCTGTGGCTCTATAAATTTCGGTAATAATTCGGAAACGTTAATTAAAATCAATATTAAAATCAATATGAAGTTGATATTGTTGGTTTGTAGCCTGACATGATTTGAAGGAACGCTGCAATACCATAACTAAATCAGTATTTGCTTTTATTTGTACTCCCAGCTTGTCGACAGTTTGGTGTTTTTTTCTTTTACAAAGTAGGAATAAGTAAATACAAAATGTAGCTACATAAAACTGAACAAATCTCAATTTTCCATTAAAGATTAAAGACATCAATGAAGTAAGTAACCCAGTAAGTTTTAAGCTTACTCCCTATAGTTTTATGATCGCACGTGCGCTGAGGACAAAAGCTCAAGTACCTTGCGTGCGCCTGAAGGAAAATATCAGTGTTTTCGATATTTTATGATGTCAACGTGAGTACAAAAAGCAAAACTGACAGTGAATTTTCTCACGTTTCCTTCAGTGAAATACGGTAAAATTTGGCAGACTGGTAGTAAATATTTTTCTTCAGTCACAGCTCTTTTTTTCAGGGAAATCTGTAAAACCAGTTTTTCACAGCGGTAAAAGACATAAATTTGCAAAAATCAAGAAAACCGCTCATGCAAACCCTACTTTTTTTGTGTTTGAGATTCATATCCCACAGGATGCGATGTGCTGTGAAAATTTTGGGAGATATCACAGAAGGAAATTCAAGAAAATCACAAAGAAAGCCATAAAAAAAGTAAAAAACACTTTCACAATGTAAGACTAAAACCCAAAATTTTAACAGAGATGATAGTAAAACACTAGTTAATCATTGCTTATTATATGTAGTAAGTTTGAGAGGACTTTGTGCAACAACGAATGCAGAAACGGCATTCAAGACATAAGACTTGTGCCGGCAATGCCATAAATGATTACCCTATGGAACCACCTTAAATTAGACAATTATGGCATGCTGGACGGATTGCTTTTCCAAGTTATGCAGATACTGTACGTAAGTTTAATACTTGTGCACAAATGTTTCTTTTCAAACAACTGAAATGCTCACTTATAACATGTTTAAGCCAAAAAAATTAACAGGTATTTTTTGTCAGTGTTAAATCCATAGTGTTTGGGGACCAGCTAATTTTGGCTAGTTGCTTAATTAAATTATACATTTTGAAATCATTTTTTCATTGAAATTCACTCTTCTGTGACCATTGTCAGAGAACAAAACAAGTTGGAAGTTTGCTGTTCGATTAAGGGGTTGTATTAAATAGGATCAGTGTTCCAAGTCACTCAGATCATGGTGCATTAAAGGAGCCAATACAAATGTAAATCCATGACCAGGGTGGATTCAACAGTTAATTCTTTGATGCACCATGATCTGAGTGATCTTGGATCACTAAGATCTCCAGCAAGGCAAATAAGGTGCTTGGTTTAATTAAAAGATATTGCAGAGATATTTCAATGCTAAGAACTACCTTGGTTAGGTCCCAACTGGGAAGTGGCTCTGTTCTTTGGTTACCTTTCACTGCCAGATTAAGAAGTTGGAAATAGTGCAATGCCACCCCATGAAGTTTATTCTAAAAAGCGAAGATGACTATGATACTCGTAACTCTAAGCATAATCTGCTTTCCCTGGAGCATAGACGATTTCTTTTTGACAGGTTATTTTTTTTGTAAAGTTTTGAATGGTTATACTAATATTATCTCTTCGTACAGTGTATGTTCAATTTTACTCTGATACTTCTAGGTACCCTTGAAACAAAAAGATAGACTTACTCTAAAGAAGAACTATGTTTGAACAAACACTTTTTTTATTTGTTCAAGCATACTTCTTCAGAGTAAGTCTATCTGTTAATCATACTGTAGGTATGTGGAATTTGCTTCCATTTATACAATGTTGTTAGATCAGCGACTGGCATTTCAAGTTTTAAGCGTGATGTAAGGAGCTTCTTAATGAATACCAAGTGAACTGGTTAGCTTATAGAATGCATTTATTTTAATTTTTTTTCATATATTTATAATGTAGGTGGTCTGTCTGAGTATGGGGCATAATATGTCCCATACTTGAATGGTTGGATGTGCCGAAAATTTCTTTAGGTCCCAACAAAGTTAATTCTTTTGTAAAAGCAACCTGTTTAGGTTGTCAAAATGACAATGAGCTTTCTTGGTCGCCCATATATAGAGTCATTGAGTAAATGCTTCTCTGGAAGACTGCAGAAACTAAAACATTTAAAAGGCCTTGATAATCACATACATATACTAGAATCACTCTATTTTAAGGGTATTCTACCAAGCATTACCTACTCTAGTCCTCCCTGGGGGTCCTCCAACTCACTCTAGGCCCTTGAGGAGATTCACATTGGAGCAGCTAGATTTATTTTAAATATTAATTACACTACATGCAATGTTGACATTCTGGCAGAAGCAAAATGGAAAACTCCATCGCACATTTTTAAGAGGTGAATGGCATGCATAACCTATCAAGCACTTTACAATAGAGCACCTGATGGTATAAACTCTCTTTTTACAAAACACTAACAGCAATTCTTATTGTTCTTCATTCTCTGGAACAATCTGGCGATATCTTTAAAGAGTAAACGGACCTTGAGTCTTTCAAGGCTGCTTCAAAAACAAACCATAACATTCTTGATAGAATAACATTCAAGGAAATGCAGGGAACAAACAAAGACATTGTGAACTACTTATATGTAACAATTATTTGCAGAACGCAAAGTGAACATTGGTGAATATTCACCGAGACGAAGTCGGTGTGAATATTCATCAAAGTTCACTTAGCCTGAGGTTCATAATTGTTTTAGTATAATTTTCAGAGGTGAACATCGAGGACTACAAAATAAAGGACTAGAACATAAAAACACAGATGCAATTGTTCGTTTACATACACGTATGCGGCCATAGTTTTAATAATAACCTTACATGTACATCAATTGTGAATCAATTTACTCATCGAGTTCGGCAGTAAAACAAGCAAGCGAAACACTACAAAAAATAAGTTCATTCGGTACCTTTGTTTTATCGTTGTTGACTTCATTCACTATTGTCATCATCGTCTAAAAATGAGTACCTTTAGTTTGAAGGAAAATAAATTTCAGTCAGTTGATCTGACCTGTTGGTGATCAACATAACCACTGCGTTTATGATTCTTAAATGCCTTGAATGTGAGTTCTTGAAAAGATTTTTGGTCCAAGGGCAACGACAGTCATTTTGAAAATTATCCATCCTTTCAAATATCCTGGACTTGGAGTGATGTCTTTCGAATAAATAAAAATTTCATTCAGCAACTGTCCGCCATGTTTACGTGCCGAGATGGTAGAGGTGGTAAGCTTAGTAACCAAGCTCAGAAATGCCATATTCACCGCCTTGTGCGGTGAATATAGCGTCATAAGGCGAGTTTTTTGACCAATCAGATTGTCCAATTCTTATATTCCCTTCTGGAAATTAAAGTTGTATTAAAGTTTAATATAACAAATATATGGCTATATTTTACTTATTTTAGTGCTATAATTCACTTGCAACACATTGCCAAACTTTGCGTGTCTGTTTGATCTTGTTTCGGGCTCAAAACTAACCTTTAGTTATTTTTTTTTTTGTTCAGTTGTACCATGAAGACCTGAGCTGAATATAAAAATCATTGAAAGATTCTCAAACAGCTGTTGTGTGGTACGTGATGTGATCAAAATAATATTTAGAAAATTCAGCATAACCAGAAGCAGCTGTTGTGTGGTGCATGATGCGATCAGATGTTCAGAAAATTCATCGTAACTGGAAGTACATTTTGAGCCCAATCAGGGCAAAATCGCTTTTTGAAAACTTTTACCCAAGAAAGCTAGGGGTAGCAAATGGTCCATCAAAAACTCTGGGTCTCGCAAAATTTTCGCTGAATTTCACGGGTCTCGCAGTCTTTGCATTTTAGCAGTTATGTTCATCTCGCAGTCTATTTTTTCACAAAGCTGTGTCGGAGTCTTAATTTCTTTCACAAAGCTGTCTTGTAGTCTCGATTTTTGCAGGATTGAAAGTTTTAATAGTTACGCTACTTTCAAATTTCTGAGAAAAAAATTAATCCTAAATAATTATTGTTCCACCTCTTCCAAGATATCAGCAATGTCCAGCTAGTTTGCAAAAGCTGGCCAAAAGACTAGAATCAAGGGAAATAAAACAAACCCAAACAGGCATGATAACCAATGTAAAAAGTCAAAATGTCTCTGGCTTGCAAAGATAATCTCTAGTTTCACCACCTTGCAAAGTCTTACATTTACCATTCACCATCCCTAAAGCTGTATCAGAAGAAACTAACTTAGTCTGTTGTATTCTTACCAGGACCTATCTATGGGCTAAATATGCGTGAAATCAATTTTTCAACTTGTGCCACCAAAAGTCAATTTTGGTTGATTTTTATGGACAGTCACTCTCAATCTTTTTTATCCAAATGTCTCCTAAACTGGCCAAAGCCATCCTTGAGGGAGCATGGTCCTTGTGTACCTGTGACATCATCACATTTTGTACCAATTGTTTTGGATAACCAGTTGATAAACTGACTGCTTAAATGAGTATGATTGGATGAATTCATTGAACCCAAGATGCATAAAATAATCCTCTGGCAATCAAAGAAAAATTGGCCCACCCCCGGTATCATAGAGAATGGAAAATATCAACTTACATTGCCATCTTGGTGACAATGTTTCCAATAGGAACAATTAAAGGTGACTGAAAAGTAAAAGAAAAACACCAAATAAAAATAGGGAAGAAGAAAACAAAATGACTAAAAGGGAAAAGAAGAAAAGCATGAAGTGGTTACAGCTTTTCCTAAGTCAAATGTTGTTGCCCAAATACCTGAACAAAAAACCAAGCTGACCTGAAAGAGACGGCAAATGTTAGCTTCCATCTTTAAATGGCACATTTAAGACAAGGGCAGAATTATTTATCTGGCATGGATAGGCACTCTTAGAGAAATTCCCAGTTGTCAATGGGTTAAAGTCAGTGTAGGTTAAGCATAACTTAAAACCTTCTATTCATGGTTATCACTCATTCTAATTCTCAGTATGATGCAGAACATGAGACTTCACAATCGGAATGTGAGAGTTATGAAGATGAAAATGAAACAGAGACAGATAAGGTTTGTATTGAAGCACAGACACATCTCGCCTCTTGATTTCTTGTTCTTCAATTTTACAAAACATAGTAACACCTACAAAACTATTGCACCAAGTGTAAAAGTTATAAAAAAAAGTCATTACAATACACTTTTACTACGCACCAAAAGTAGACTTCATGGCAATTGCATACTGCAATTGTATCTTTTGGATCTTTTTTGAGTGACTTAAGGTTTTAGTGATTTGTGCACTATTGAATGGTTTAGAAGCTTGTCCTCTGCCATGATTTTAAGGTATAAACCCATACCAGGAGGACACACCTGATTTTCATACACTTGACAACTACTACTACTATCTATAGTAGTTTACTAAAGCTGTGTTTGTCCAAATCCATTGTGCTCTTTAAAGAATATTACATGGTGTCAGAGGTAAAATATGAAACAGTAATTCAGCCACTGATCTACCAAAGATCTGGATAAAATGCAGACCTTATTCCAGAGCAGTCAACATTGGTGATCATAGTTCATGTCCCAAGATAAGTTGAATCCAATTGTGTCGGAGGGGAAAGAAAACATCAGAGAAATACAGCAATTGCAAGTTGATGACACAGAAAGCACCAAAGAAATACAACAATTACCAATTTAAGATGAAGAAAATACAGCTGAAATTGCAACGCAGTTAGGCCTTCCACCTCCAGAACCTCTCAACTTAATTAGTGGAAACATCTCGGGCCAACTGGAAGACATTCAAATTAATTCACAATAATTAATAATGACACAGGTTTGGGCTGAAGTGTTGTTGTTTAATATGAAAATCACACCCTAGGTGGGAGGGAGAGGGTGCAAAATTACAACACAGCTGGTCTAATGAGACAGAGCACAAGCTAAGGAAATCTGAGACCCCGAAGGTCTGATCTAATAGATCAAGTAATACTAAACTTCTTTGATCCTAGATCAAAACAATGCAACTATTTCATGTCAATCAATAAAGACACACATTTGGGCTGAAATATTGTCGTTTAATAAGAAAATCACACCCCTAAATAGCCCAAACGTGGTAGAAAATTTATGAAAAAAATGAGAGGCCGAAAAAAGAACACTAAAAGTTTTGCGCAAAATTTTGGTGTCTTTAAATTGCATACAAAGGTATGCAGTGTTCACACTGTTCAGTGACATTCCCTTGGAAATAACCCTGCAGTCATGACGTCTGCAACCTGGGAGCGGGTCTCCAGTGGGAGCGCCAGGTATACGCAGAAGGCATCCAATCACCAGTCACTGTAGCTTTATGAGGTGCTCTGGGATGCCAGACTGGAAGGCTAATGTAGTGCCACTGCATTGAAAGCTGTGAGGAGAGTAGTGAGCTGGATCAAGGCCAGTGATTAAAATGAGGTGTTTTAATGCTAAAGGTAGTAAAGGTAACAGGATGACGGCCAGAAGTAGTGGGAAGACAGAACAACAGTGCTTATGAGGAAGTGGGGACGAGCGTAAAGAATTGTAGAAGGGCAGACACAAGGCAGAGAATAGAGCCGGGAATGCTGGGAAGCAGAATGATAAGGAGGCCTTCCTTGTGGTGGAGAGTTTTCATCCAACGTATGCAAAGAAGTACTCTGGGTAACATCTTGGCGATGGCATCTGGGGTCGAAGGAAGTGGCTGAGGAAGTGGCCGAGGCTACTGTCAAGTTCAATTTGTGGAGGAAAGAAAAGAAAGCGGTGCAGAATAACGCACAGATTGTGGAGTGAAGAGGAAGGTTGGTGTTCAGGTGATGCCGTATTTCCAGGAGGATAGAGGGTGTGACAGGATGTTTCTGGTGGATTGCAGTTCCTAAGAGATGTTTTGATCCGCACTTTTTGAAAGAAACGTCAAAGTTGTCAAGGGTGTCAACTGTACAACTGTTGTAGCAGTGAAGAAGTCTGATGACATTAAGAGGATTCAAAACGTACTGGTGTGATGAGGTCTTGCGAGTGAGATAACAGGTGTGAGAGTCCACGGCATATGGTGAAGCAGGTACAGGGGTGAAGTCATAAGTGCGCAGAAATTCAATCATAACTTCCATTGAGAATGCAAATTGTGGAGAGTGCCAGGGGCATAGGCTTGTGCTTGGACTTGAGAGATAGGGTTGGCGAGGTTGGCTGCAGTGATTGGGTCAGTGAACTGAGTTGGCGAGGGCTGACTGCCATCTATGAAGAAGAGAGAAGTTAGAAGACTTTTTAAAGTCAAAACATCTGGGAGGACATGTCACATGAGTGGTAGAGGTGTGTGCAGTCAGCTGCTTGAATTGGGTCTCGTAAAGGGAGAAAGGTGTCAGTTGTAACCTTGGTGATGTCCTAGAAGGTGACAATTGTGAGGGTCGATATAGAGTTGGCAGTATGCCTGGCTTAAGTCCTTCTTGAAGAGGTAGCATCCAGACCCTTTGTTCCAGTTAAGCTCTTGTGAGTGGCTACCCAAAGACCCTAATAGTAATATAGAATATACAACTGATTGAATAATAGGTTCCCCATGCTCATTCCTGTTTCTACAATGTAGCTTTGACTGTCTGCGAATATTTTTGCATTTCACAGGATGCTCATGCAAGAAAACGAAGAGCAAGTAAGTGATTTTACTAATTGAACTCACAGCTCCCAGCTCATAACTAAAGCTGTGTCTTGAGAACCCGACAAAACCTTTGCAATTATGGCATTAAGTTTTTTATCGCAGTTTGAGTTGGCCATAACCTCATATTTTCCCTTGTCACTTAAAATTAAATAAGGGCGATCACATATATCTGGTAGATTTTGGAGATTGCATTTAGGGAGATATCTACAATCAACAGATGGAGGACCAATACTCTAATAATAATAATAATAATAATAATAATAATAATAA